TGTAATCCCAGTCACCGATTTCTGCCACCATCTGAGACTGAAGGCGCTGTTGTGCGTTTTGGAGGTGAGAGTTTTGCTCTTGAAGATAGTTGTTGCTGCATATAAGAGCATCAACTCTTTTTTCGAGGGACTCCGCTGCCTGGTGGGCCATTTGAAGCAACATCTGCCATTTGTTGAGGCGAGGATTGCCTGCTTGGGCTAACATTAGCCCTCATCCCACGTTTATGAACATGTAAAGACACTTACTTGCCAATGGAGCCATTAATTTTCTCCTAGCCATATTGCTGAAACGACAGTGGATATACTGTAATTTTTCTTGTAGAAGGGGAATGCAATGATACTATAGAATAAATATGGATCGATCAATCGTCTCTTCCGATGGTGCAGATGGAAAGGGTCTACCAACATAGAACAGAGAGAGAGTTTGCAATGGATGTCTTGTAGTGGACTAGCTTCCCACTAAATATGCCACTGAATACAGGATAACGGGCAAGCAGCAACCCCCCCTCCTACCACATGATAGGCTTTATTGGCATAAAGTCGTCCTGCTACGTGATGTAGCTGCTCTTAGGAACACTGCCAACACTCCTAGAAGCTGAATAACACGTCGTCTTCTGGTGGATAACCCAGTGTAGGATTTAGGGACTTGTAGCGAAGCATCTAGCACCACCGAGAACGTTCCGCTTGGTGATCAACAAGTACGTAAGCAAATTTAATTGCCATAGAACGTCGATTTCCACTATAGAAGCGTTGAATAAAAAAAAGTATTGTCAAAATTTGTCTATAGGGAAATGAGCAGCCAAGAAGTTGAATTCCTGGACGACTACGGGCAAAATGGATCCATGCATGGCCAGGACTTGCAATGAGTAACTAGAAAGTCATTGCAGGTGAGCAAATCTGCCCGTTGATTATCAAGTGGCATGATCTTCCATACCCACACTTGGCCATGGTATAATTCTCGATCTTGACATGTATACAGCTGTTTATGAAAAGCCCATTGTGATATTATGATTTTGCCCCGAGCTTAGTTTCATCCTTTGACTGAGAACAACCCCGCTATCTATCTGTGGTCTAGGTGGACCACGTTCAGTGGTGAATAAATGGTACCATTCTTGTCCGTGATGTCTGTTCTTTGCCCCATCACCCTATATCGCCTGGCATTGGCTTGACGAAGTGCATTTTGGATCGAAGATCGCGTGGGTAACAGTTGGGCCGTGAGAGCCGGCATGCAGGACATGGGCAAGTAAATTAACCAGAGTGGAGCGGCTCAGACAGATGAATGCCCCTGGTGTGGTGGATGACGATGTGGAGCTTCGGGTATTTTCGGCATGACGATGATGCCCACCAAGGGTTGCAAATTATTAATACACAGAATCAAAGTCTAAAACGCAACAGACGCCTCAAGTGTTTCGCAGCGATCATGCAAGGCGTCTGCACGTTACCCACCATGAGAGCTTTTCGTGTAAAGCAGACTTTTGCTGGAGCCGATCAAAATGTGTGGGAATTGTAGTGACCGGAAAGACTAATCGCGCCTAGGATGCGTGCCTCGCAAAGTCTGAGCGGAGATAGATACGGCCAGGACCAAGTCTCCAATAGGATTGTGGCCGGCACCCTAGCTTTCGGAGGCCTGAAAGAGTTCAGGTTGTGCCTAGTATAGCCCATTTGGGACTTGACTTTATATCGAGGTTACTATATTGATAAGTACCGTCCTTTGTCGCTTGGAGGCGAGAGAGATTTTTGCGGAAAAGAATGGTGTGCCATATAGCTGAGGTACAGTTGGACAAGGGCATACGTATATCGATAGGGATTGCTGGGATAGACACTGGGCAACCCCAGGCTGAACAGAACCATGGTGGCATGGCTGATTCAGTGTCATTGGCATATTTGTTAGTATGGGTCATAAGGGAGAGCAAAGCCTACCGCATGGGTTTGAAAAAAAAAGGATCCTTGCTAGGCTTATCTAACAGGAGGAAAATACTCAACAGAGCAAGCTTGGGCACACCTTCGAGAGGGACTGCGATATGAACGGGTAAATACTGTAACTAATGGGCAGTAAAAGATTGTGCCATTAACATAAGGCTTAGTAATAAGTAGAAAATAGTCAAGCAGACCCATTCTATTAGCGTCTGGCATGCCATGAAAGAGCCCCAGATTACTCCAGAAGTGGCCGATGAACATCGGCATTTCCAGTACTATGAACTGGTTCCATCGTATCTGGCTATGGCCCAGACGCAAGTATGAGGCGTACCCTTTCACATGGTCCCCATGCTAACTGTACCCCACTTGTAGGCGGGTGCATCGGACTGCTTCAGTTGAGGATCAAGGTGACCTGCACGACGCCACGATCGGCTACTTTGTCACAGTCTGTGTGGGTTCCCCCCATAGGCGGGCCGCAGTGGAAGATTCCAGCTTGATGCGTGATGATACCCAAAAAGCCGCTGTCGAGAATTTAAGATGTGAGCGCTGCCATGGCCGTCGTTCTACGAGTTATCACTGCAAACATTGGGAAGCCTCTGTGCAGTACCCAGCCCGTGGCACATGTTCACGGCGGCGCACAGGCTGTGCGGGCGCACGAAAGGCCCTACAGCAAGGCCCCTGGCTTCAATCGACTGTGGGTTTACCGGCAGGCGGACGGGTGAAAGAGCCAGGAATCAGCCACAGCAATACGCAACTACAGCCAAAGTCTCCAGCTCCGGTATATGAACTTTGTGGAATGCCGACAAGCTCGTTAGGCAGGAAATAAGAACCTTGACTCCTAGATACTGTAACCTTTCAAATGTACCGGAGAATCAATAGGCCTCCTTACCGACCACTTACGTACATCATGATTGATTGGTTCCTTTCGTTCTCCAAAGCCTCATGCGCAATTGAACTCATGTAGGGTTGTGTTTCTTCCTTGGTGGCCTCAGCCGAACCGGTTGTATGATTGCCAAGAGCTGCTCGATTTCCCCGGAGAGCGTCCTATACTCGGCAGTAGATTGTTTTCCTCTCTGGCCAAGCATTCGCCGCTTCATACGAGTCTCACGGAGCTGGTTTTCCAGGGACGGCGCACTGGCGACGAAATCAACATATGGCGTCGTGCTATTTGTAGGTTGTCTTCCGGGTCTCTTTCTTGGTGAATGTCCTGTCGTGTCCGTAGCATGAGAATATTTATTTCAAGGTTTGGGAACAGTATATCGTATACATACGCATGGTCTGGCACGATGAACGCATGGACTGCTTTATCGGCACGGTGCATAGTGCATCGCTCGACCGTTGATCACTGTAAACGCGACTGTTGTGGTGCGGAGCCGGAACGCTTGAGGCCGAATCGACGCCATCCAGTGATGCCAGTTGCTCATTCAGCCAGGACATGGGTGGAATCGGTGGAGCTGGAGACGGTGACCGCAGGAATACCGTGAGAAATTCATTGACGTCACTGTTTGGGACACACATCCTGTCGGCCCTGAACAATGCTTACGTGGAAACTTAATGACACCAAGGTTAGCCTGTGAAGTCCATATTGAAGTAATGTACTCCTACCGTTTATAGGTGTAAGCCGGATGACGACGCCAGCAGTTGACACAGTACAGATGCGCGCAGGAAGGTCTGGGCAACGCTCAGTGCGTACGAGTCTGCCGGGCTTTATGCTTTACGCAGTATTAGAGCATCAGAGAGGCAGAAAAGTGTGATCATCTAGCGTCGCTCCTTTACCTTCTAGCCCGCAGAATAGAAGGGTACTCCGCTGGCGGAAAGAACTGCCGATTCAGCTTTAATACTAACCGGAAATAAATCGCACAGGACCGGGAATCCGAGGAGTCCAACTGTAACTCTCAAGAGCTATGTCCCAAAGTGGGCCGTTACATAGCATGATCTATGGAGAAGACTTATACCATCCCTCCCTTGCAGGTTTCATGCCGTATTAAGTCCCATACAAGCTACAAAACCAATCAAACGTGCGACAGGCTTTTACGACTTCTCAGTGTTCGATCGCCGGGAATGCATATATATGAAATACCAGGCTGCGTCTAAGCATGTCTGCCCCAATTACCCATCCCATAATCACCACCGCTCTTCTCGTTGCTATCGCCAGCCGTGTTATCGTAACCGATCAGAATTCCCCGAGACGAGAGCTTATCGGCGGTTCAACTTGGCCTTCTGAACCATAGCGGTGGCCGTAATTGTCCGTTCAGCAAACGCGAGTACGCCACAACACCAACTGAGTAGCCGCTGTATCTTTGTACCCATTTCATCTTACTGTTTACGGCCATACTAGACTCCAATGACTCCCTATTTCCTATCGATAGGTGCTTTGCATACCACGAAGATTCTCCTTATCGTGGCTGGCAGCGCCGTGAACACAAAAATCTCAGGCACTGCCTTTCCTCGCCGGGGTGAACTATGTCATCTTGACTGCCGGCTACCTTTGGCTTGGCCGGCACACGTCTAGATGTCACTCATTCCATGCACGCTTGATGCATGCAGCGTACTATATATTGGGTCTGGCCACCTTAACGTCACGGCGGTGGTAGGGGTCTCGCTCCACGAATGGGCCCATGCGGTCGAGGTATCAGTTTCTCATCTCCACTGGGCCTGGCAAACATGATACAATGGTCTTGAAGGAGAAAATACTTGCGGCTGTGCTCTCGGCTATCCATCATGGTTTACATGCCTTCGCTTGCTTTGATGGGCGTGTTGTTGCGAGGCCTAGTTGCCACACCCAGCCGATGAATCATTCGAACTTCTGTGCAGAGGCATATCATACTACTTCGTTTGAAATGGTTAAGAGGACAAAATCCAAGACAGAAATCAATGGACACGGTTGCCTAAGATGGATGCTAACCGGCAGTCCGTGTATGTAACGTTATGTACGTGGCAGTCTCGGACTTCAAAGGAACCTAAACAACATTTGGAGAATGCAATGGGCCCCACTGGACTAAAACAAATACTATCCACTATCCCCAGGCTAAACCAACGTCAACTAACAGTAGCCAACTTCTATAACTACTCCACCTGAGAGTTCAGGCTTTTGTCGGAACTGGGGCCGAGGCGGGAGCCGGGGCCTTTTGATTGGCAGCTGGAGTGATAGAGGGAGAATCAGCCGGGGCGTGGCCGTCGTTTCCGACCGGCCGACCTTCACCCCTGCTCTCCAGCAGCACGGCCGGAGCATCCTTCCAGCTATCGCAAATCCTAGTGATCCCATCTTGAACACTTTCAAACGATTTCTGGAAATGGGTAAGGAGCGTCCTCTGCTCCTCGTAGCGACCCTCGAGGTCGCGCTTTTCCTTCTCGAGAGACGCGTTTTTGGTCTCCAGTCGGCGATTCTCCTTCTCGAGCCGCTGGCTATCAGCGTGCTTCAAGATGTAGGAATCCCACATGCGCCGATAGAGGGCCACGAGGCGCGCCGCCTGTGCGGCCAGAACGGGGTCCGTCTCATCAAGCCGCTCCAGCTCCTCGGCTAAAGGCCTAAACAGCTCTGCGGTCGACGCTGTTTTCTCATCCTTGGAGGGGGAATTGGCCGACTGAGGTCAATGTGGTCAGCGGGTGTCTCCGTGGCTTGTGTCGGGCGACCTCACCTTTGGCAATGGTTGAGCTCGAGACGGTGGGGCCCGGAAATCATTGTCCCTTCCTCGCGGCGGCGGCGGCGGCGACTCGGATCCGCGCTTGCGCTTGGCCTGGTGGTGATACATAACTGGAGCTACGTGCTGCTGAGATGAAGCAAATCTTGCCATGAATACGGCTCTCCAGTGGGATGTAGTGCCTTTTTTATAGGTATCACGATTGCCTTGGAGCATGTCGGAGACCAAAATACACCGGCGAGCAAAGCATGAGAATGGCCTACACGTACACGCCCATGTTGGCACGGGCATGACACACCAAGTGACGAAACACGCTGTATGCGTAGGGCATCACGTTGATAATTGATGTCTTTGATTCACCGAATACTTAAAGTATGGGCAAAAGGTAAGCTGGTGCCATCTTGTCACGGCCTAGTATTCCCCGGGTTTCCAGGGTTTCAACCATCATGGCCCTCTTTATGCGGTTCACTACTATGGCGAGCGTAAAACCGACGGTTATTATCTACCGTCATCTGCCCGCTCGACAGCATGGTATAAATAGACGCACATAGAATCCAACAAGTGGTCCGCATGATATTATACGGTCCTTATCCTCCATTTGACCGTATGCGTCGAGTAAATGGCTCAACCGAGATGTCTCTGTCGTACACAACGGCTTGCAGAGCGACTACAGCATGCGGTACAGGCAGACGAGGTGGATCACCCAACCCACGGAACCGACATTAAAGCCGGTTCCTCTCGGACTCTGCATAGGGAAGCGGAGAGGGAAAGGCAGTGGCGGTCGCTAGCTCCGTCGCCTGAATTTATGGAAAAACAAATGCGGAAAGGTACGATAAGTCAACCAACAACAGAGTTACAATCTTACTAAATTACACTGCTGTAGGCCTGACCTGAAATGAGATTCTTGATTACCATGCACCCCTAGGATCTGGGCATATGTTGAGGGTGATGAATACAAGATGGTCTATTCATTAGGGAGATGCCTGTTATTAGTTGACATTGGTAGATCATATTCGCGCCTGAGATCTACAATGAACGACTTTACCATCTACACTGAGGATACTTGTTGGAATCAAGGTATTCATGTTGCAGTAGGATGGAATCATTTGTGTATCTCTCACAATGCTGGTAAAATGGTTTGTATATTCATAGCACATGGTCAATGACTGTCACAGGAAATCTCTTACGGGTCAGGCTCGGAGACAAAATTGCTCAATTGCCCGATTTTCTAAATCTGCGTCGCCAGTCGTGACCAGCGGTGTTGATCAAGAGCGCCCAATTGATTCTGCCCAGCGGCGCAGTTGACCTCGCGTCGGCCCAACGCAGTACGGGATGCTGGTAATGATGGAGTTTGGTCATCCTATCTGGCAACAAATCGTGGTTACACGACAAAGGATCGGTACATTTGCGGCCACAAGTCCTATGTATGGAATTAAGATAGCCGCCCGAGGTCTTATACTTCTATGGCCCTCCTGGGCACGTCTTTCCAGGGCAAAAAGAAACTCGATAAATCCCTAGCAACCTCTAATGTTGTTGGACCGTAGCTAATCCATGAAGTTAGAACTGTCGAGAGAAAAGCCCGAATGTACCTTCCGACTGTCCTTGTTGATAAGTGCTCTCTGGAGCTCGGTATGAATCCACCATCTCGATTGACCCTGTGACACAACAAGAGGAGCAAAGAATGGGCATTTTTGTGGCCTCATTTCCACAGGTCTTGTGTGTGCCCCCTGTACCTAGTCCAGCCATATCTCTTCGCCATGGCGTCCAAGCACCGAATCAACCGCATACAAAATGCTTCCCACAATAGGTCCCAAGAAGTCCTCCGGCTCAACCTCGCGCGAACACTTGTATTGTTGGTGACTAGCAGGGCTAGGGGCTAGGGGCTTTCTTCGCGATACACGGGCAACGTACTGACGCAGCGAGAATAACAGAAAGGTTCGTATTGGATGATTGTACTTTGTTTTGTACTATATGTAGCGATAGAGCATGGATTGTAGATACATCGATAGATAGGGGCGGATGACATTTGCTCAAACCTGGTACGAAGAGGATAAGACTGCCCTGTCCACTCTCATGGAATACTGGACCGCATCTGGAGCCCCATGCCGATATTCTTCAATGCAAGCTCAGATCGCCGCGTCCCAGATGTACCTGCCATATGAGATGCTGTTCAGGATCACAGCAAGATGCATCAGATAGAGGCTGGGCTTCCACTCGCCCACCAGACCCAATCTCTCCGGACCCCTTGCCAGATAGCCGAGCCCCGCCAGAAGGTTCCAGCCAGCAAGCCGTATCAGCCCGACGACGAGTGGCGATGGACGGGTCCAAGGTTGACGGAGGATATAGATCGGTGGCAGTAGTGCAAATGAACCTAGTGCCAGGCAGAATTGGCAAAAGTATAAGTGGTGGGAAAGAAAGTCGGTCATGGTACCAACGACGGCAATAGTCAAGCAAAAGAGGTATGCGAGACGGAGGTAGCCGTGTTGGTCAGATGACAAGATCACCAATGGAACGGTCGTGGTATAGATCAGGAATAGAGTGCCGGCCTGCTCGAGCTTTAGCCAGGATACGGCCTGACTCCCGTAGAGTGTCCCTCTGACTCGGTGGGCCAAGCTGCATAGGCACCAAAGTATGACGCCGCTACTGTACAGAGTCACAGCTTGTGTTTGGACAATAGTGCCTGGCGACGTTGGGAAATGCCAAAGCAAGAAGGAGACGAGGAAGAAAAGGAAGTAGGAAAGCCCAACCAGATGGATCGAGACGAGGATCGCGCCATCGCGATGAAGAGCCTTGTTGGTGAAACTCATTCTGGTATGACGGCCGTTCGCAGCAGGGCGTGAAAATATAGTCCTTTCATTGTGGACTGGCCTCGGAGAGCATATTTATATGGCGTTCCTTACCTCACTAGGCTGCTAGGAGTGTGTCCTATAGTAGGGCTGGTTAATCGGTCTGGCTGAACGGCCTGGCTGATCCAGGGGGTGTTCATCCATACATGACCAGCAACAAACGGACCCATGTTCGTGGTCCAAAAGATGACCGTGCGAATGCGCAGCAAAAATCAGCAGAGGGGAGAGAAGAAACTCGCCTGCCGATGGGGGTTCCAGATTCAATTTAGAATATCTTCCCTTGCCTGCTTGACTCATTGACTGCAACCAAGGTATTGTCCGCCCTGGGAAAATGAGGGTTGACGGCAACTGATGGCCTTTCACGGCTGGTCCGCGTACCAGTCCCTACATTTGGTGGGTGCCATCAGTTCATAGCCATTGAAACCTGATCATCCGACCAAGACGGTGTGCATTTGATCTGTCTTCACTACGAGTATATAAACGGAAGTCAAGAGACGAAATGGACACAGCTGGCTACCACAGGACTACCATGGCAGCATGGTTAGACCTCACACACGACGACGCAGCGGGCTGGTCCCTGGTCGATACGGGTAGGGTGGATGACATCGTGCAGGACATGAGCCATCCCGCCACACAGTACCCGTCTGTCCTCTCGTTCCTGGGCAATGACAGTCGGGTGGCAGCCCTGCGTGCGCTCTTTCCCCAGAACAATGTTACCCGACGAGGACCAGCTGGCCTGGTCCGGTTGCATCTCAGTACCACGACCGCCAATACCGAGCATCCAGTGTGGTTCACCGAGAGCAGTTTCACCCGCCCACCGACGATTGACGGGTCCACCATAGCGCCATCCGCCGACCGTTCTCGACGGTACCCAGTTCGGCAAGGCCGATTCGAAACGCCGTGCGACATCAAAGACCACCTCCTCACGAGACTGGTGTTTCCGTGGACGCACGTAGCGTGTTTCTTCGCGGACGGAGAGAACGAGCTGAAGGCTCTGACCAGCTGGTTGGCGGCAACCCATGGAGACATCCATGCCAGCCCCTCAGACACACCAAGCCTGGTGCGAGTCATATTGATCCTGACGGACCCAACCGCCATCTACAACGCCGACCCGGTGGAGGCGGGGTTGCCCGGTTCCGACGTTGCGGGCGAGCAACGGGCGACAATATCGGTCCTGGACCTGCGCGATCGTCATCAGTTGTCACCCTCTGCTCTCTATGCCCCACTGCAGCGTCTCCTGCTAGACGGACTCCAGGATAGCCGGGCAGAACGCATAAAGCAGGGCCTGCTCTTCTCCGCCGTCCATCTCAAGTTCATGTGGCATAGGTGCCTTGTGCAAAGTCTTCTGCACCCGGTTGCCCAAATCAATTGTCTCTCCCTCGCTCGGGAACGACTGCCGGTCCCGTTTGCGTTCCACGACGGCCTCGCAGAGTTGCTCGGGGAGGCGTGCAAGATCGGGTGCCCGACCCGCGACCTCCGTCAGTTTGTAGCGTCGGCTCTTTTGATGGACGCCTATCCTCCAGGGATGCATCGTAAGTGCATCTGACCATCTTGCCTGTCTCAGCGGCTGATAGTGCCGAACGCGAACACTCACGCATCTAGGCTTCCGACCCCAGCACGTCTTTGATAGTTTGTATCGGGATCTTTGGCTGACAGCACCGCAACTGGACAAAGGCCCAGACTGGACCCAACATGGTGACGCTATTCGGGATGCTTTCATCGACAGTTTCGCCCAGATGGGCCCCCTGAGAACCTCGCTCACAATCCGGAAAGAGGCACTGAAGTGCTTCGGCGCACAGTGGCCCGGCCTCACGTTACCCACGATGTGCCTGTTCTGTCTCGGCCGACCCGCGGAACACCAGCTACCCTGTCGACATGCGCTCTGCGATACCTGCGTGGTCATCTTTGGACGGCCGACCCGCGGAGCCGAATATCACCAAGATCTCTCGCAGTGTCCCCTGTGTCAGGGTGTGGTCGAACGCACGGTTCGGCAGTTACCATCGACCAAGCGGCCCGTCGTGCTCGCACTGGATGGAGGCGGGATCCGTGGCATCATCACCCTCGGCCTCCTGCAAGAGCTGGAGAGACGGCTCGCGGGCAGCATCGTACTATCCGACATTCCGGATCTGACGGCCGGCGTCAGCGTAGGTAGGTCAGCCCCGGAGATGACCGTTGTCGCCGCTACGGCGGTCGTGCCGCCAAGTCGTGACTGACCATCGTTAACTCATGCCAGGTGCCTTCATCGGGACAGATATCGTACACAACAGTATCTCCGCCGCAGAGGCCTACCGGAAGTTCCCTGGCTTTGCACGGAAGGTGTTTCCGACCTCGGGTATCCCGCTGGGTAGATGGGCCTGGCTGAGAGTCGTCATAGGCCTTTACAACGATAGCCTGTACGACGCAGACGCGCTGGATCAAACGATTCGGACTGTTTGCGGGCCAACTCGTCGGGTATTTGGCGCAGGGACGACATCGGTCGGGGGCCGTCGTCTCGCAATTGTCGTTAGCCGGACATCCGACGGCAAGCCTGTGGTCTTCCCCAATTATCATGGTGTGGGGCGGATGGGCATCGATTCGGGATATCAGGTCATGATGCGTCAAGATGGGACCCAGAATCCCTTATTGTCGGACGTGTGAGTGGCTTCATCCTGTTCCTCGAACGCGTCATAGGCTAACTAACGATGGGTGCCAAGTCTCGGATGTAGCGTGGCGGCTCCTGGGTATGATCTACCGCCACTCTTTCCTTGACTGGTTTAGCGTGCTCACGTCGGCTTTAGGTTCTTCCACTCCAAATTTCTCCCAGGGCTCGGCCCCTTCCAGGACGGGGGAATCCGCGCGAATGTCGCCGGGTCTGGCCGTCGGCCCGGACGCATGATCTACTCGTCTCCGTCGGAACAGGCTACATCCCATCGACGGCGGACTCGAACGCCTCCCCCAGCCACGCCGGCCGTAGCCTCCACGACACGGCCCCTCTTCGTCTGTGGCGGGCGTACTACTCGTCCCCGTGTATGGACGGGACTGCAGCCTACAAGGAAGGCCTGAACCATGTTCCACACGCCATGCGGTTTCGTACGTTCCGGCTGGACCATGCCCTGGACGGCAACTTGCCCCGGCTGGACGATGTCGGACAACTGGCGGCGCTGACGAGCCGGTCGTACCGAGTACCAGACGAGCTGGTCCGAGCGGTGTTGGCTACGTGTTTTTTCTTTGAACTAGACGAGGCTCCTACCCTCATCCGGGGTCAGTACTATTGCCGGGGGTCCATCCTGTGCGCGCGACGGCAGGCACGACGGATCATGGAGCGGGTGCTGGTGGAGTTCCCGGGCGCCGAGGTCTGCACTCTCCGGGGCGATGGGTTGGGTCGAGTGGGCGAGGACGACGGATGTACAGTCTGCGGGTACTATCGCAAACGGGTTCGATTCCCTGTCGGCAGTTTGGATGAAGAAGTGACGGTCCTTTTCAGCGGCTCCTCCCACCAGCACCCGATCGGGGGATTTCCAGCCACCGTGCAGCAGTTCCTCCACCAGCAACAAGCCGACGCGGTCTTTGGTCGGTCCGACCACCAAACCGACCGATGGCCACCTCGGAGAAGGTGCTATTGCGCGAGAGGGACCAAGCGGGTTGTGCAATTCCAGGAACCGCCTCCAGAGCGCAAGAAACGGCGTTTATAGCGGGGATGTCACCGGATCATCCGTCGGTGGGCCGACATCGGCTGGCAGACTGGCCACAAGAGATTGCATAGCCTTCATTCGATGGCCAATGATATAATATACTGATATACCTACACGGCCAAATGCCGGCGCTACATTAATTATGTTGTGGATAGCAGATTTCCCCTAAGATAGTGTTTGCTTACGTAGTGTATGAGGATAGAATCAAGCATGATTAGTCTACACTGGCGAAACCCTGAAAGAAACAGTTTGATATATATATATATATATATCTATATATTTATTTATTGATCTGGGCCGACTCCCAACCACGGTAATCAGATATTGTTCTCCTGCAGATCCTCGATTGCAGCTAAGGTATCGCCGGCAGCTTCCCAAGAATACCACAGCACGAGATATTGGGCGGAGTGGTGACCATCACAACCCGCTGACCGTTTCGCGATCACTTTGATAGGTATCAGGGGCCCGGTGGGGAGACACTAGCATCTTATTTAGTGACGGGAAGCACACGATCATAGGTGATGGGGATATACTGGTTTCGGGTCGGCATCGTCGTTATCGCAGGTAGATCGAGGCACGTTCCTACCTGGCGAGCTAGCCCTACTGTCGTGGAACGAGAGCGGCTCCGAATCAGAAACCACAAAATCGCGGTCATCGCTGTCTTCCGATGAAACGGCGGTGCTCGATGCTGAATAAGGCCAGGTTTCTTCGCCGTCCGATTCCCTAGATCCGGTAGACGTCATGTCGCCAAGCACAGGAGTGGGTGGTGGATGGAATCGGTGTTGAAACCTTCTCTTTTATAGCGATTCTATGCCGACCGAATCTATGGGCGACGACTACGCCCGATGGTATATAGTGCAAAAGGAATAGAGGAGAAAATAAAAGAACAAAAAAACATCGATGGGCATCTGCCTGGGCATTAGGCGAACAGCTTCACAGATTCTACTACATTCTGGGCCACAGGCTAGTTACACTTGCTCCAACTGTCCTGTAGCGCACTAATGGATCTTCACCACGTTGCCCGGTGCACGTTGCTGTTGCCTCGGCCATGGCGGGCATTAGGGCAATGCAGAGATATCTCCATCTCGCTCACACTCAGTTTTCTTCCCCCCATACCGATAATGCCAACCTGGATGCCCACAGTCCCTCAACTCTCTCCGGGGGAGCGAGCGCACAGAGCATCACCCCTGATATGGGCCCCTCACGTTTCATCATTTCCATCACCTTCACAGATGCCGAAGCTTCAATACGCTACTCTCGCTCCGACATTGGCCCCAGTATACGGACTACCGCCCTCAAATTCATGGGACGATGAGGGACAGTCGCGATAGATCGAAAGCCCTACGGCACGGAGCCAGCCCGTCTCGATGCCATAAATATTCATGGCCCGGTCGCGATGATTCCTGGGACCAGGTACAGGCAGCATGTACCTAACACGCCAGGCTCAAGTCGAATCGAAGGAAAAGGCTCTGGAAGCCTACCGGAAGGAACGATTTCGTGGGAGCGCCCGAGTCCGTCTAGACTGCCTTGGGTTTGAGAAGGGGTTCAGCCGCTTGATGGATGATGGCCGCAATACCGTCCGGCTCGAGCGGATTCTCGAGTTGCAAGGCTGTCTTCGCATCAACCGGGATTACCATGTGCCGGTGCTGGTCGATGCGGCCGACTGGGGCCGTAGCATCAAGATGCATGATAGCGAAGACGAGTTGCTCCCGGAATTGGCTGTGCCTCTGAATATGTTACTCCGCGCCCAGGGACACGAAAGCATTGTCGCAGCGGCACGAAAGATGCTATCGGGCCCCAGTCGGTGGTGGGTAGTTGATGTGTACGTGGAGGATCCAGGTAAGTTCCCCCTGGCATCGCTGGTCTGAAGCACCCGTTTCCAGCCTCCCTGGCGCATGGCTGTAGCTTCGTTGTACGTACTAGTAGTACTTAAGTGGAATGCGGTTTTTTTGCCCTAGGTCAGCCAACCATCGAACCTTGGCTCCACACCCACCTCGTGCGCTCCCTACGGGAGCACTTTCCGAACGAGCGTCAGCCCCCTGATGGGTTAATCTATCAGCGGCTTCGGTCATATGAAGGGCATCTCGGCCCGCCCCGCGATGAACAGGCGGCCGCGGCGTGGTGGGCTATATTGCAGCACGACCCGAGGAGTAGGAAGCATCGATATGTCGCCGCATTCTTTAAACATCCAACCCTTCCTCGGGCCTTTGATGCCCTTCTTCCCATCCCGGGTCTGTGGGCTTGTATGCATCTCGGGGTGCTACACACGATGGTTTCTCTGCACTGCGATGAGGTATGTGGGCCCGGGCTCGTTCAATAATGCCGCTGCTGAAATTCGAGACGGTACAGCCCATCTTATTCTATTTGGAGCGGATCCGCAGCATGTGGGTTGATCAAATCCTCGGCGGCGATGCCGCACTGGCCGGCGCTGTGGACGCCCACACCGTTCGCGTGATGGAATCGCGCGTTCCCCAGATCTCGCAGCAGGATAAGGCGTTCCTGGAAAAACAAATGATGACCGACCGGACGTTGTTTCCATCGATCTCTCACCACGAGACACGAGAGGCCATATGGGCTCGGCTGCAGTCGATCGACACCCCGATTCCCAGCCTACGCACGTTCTTCCAGGATCTTCTTTATCTGGGCGTGGCGCGCAAGGCGATGCAGACGCTTCTCTGCCTGCGGGAGCCGGGATCGACGGGCAAAGTCACGCTCGATGAGGCACTAGGCGGGCAACGTCCGGCCAGCACAAGCCAGTCTCTGGGGGCTCACTCCCAGCAAACTCGGCAGGGCCTGCAGGAGCTTTGGCGGTTCTGCTTCCAATATGGGTTGGAAATAGCGGGAACCGCACGCCGTCTGCGTCAGCCACGGAAGCCGGAGCGGTTGCCCGACTCGCTGCATACCGGAAATGAACCAACATGGATCAGCCGAACGACGCTGTTGCGCCACTTTTTCTGGCTTGCCGAACAAGAAGGATTCACCGTCCCCAGCCTGCCCGGTCTAGCGCCGCAGGCCGTGCCCCTGCCGACGCCACAGTCACGTGATGCGGTGTCGAACCTGAACCCGGGCTGCGATGAACCCGTTGCCCGACGGCGCGGGATTCCGTATGTTGACACGGTTGATGCCGACCGGTTCGCCCTGGAAAAAGACCGGTTGTGGGAGCGCTGGGATAGCCCGCATATCACGGCAGAGTTTGTACGGCGATCGCAGTTCCAGGCCTTTTTCGGTTACCTCCATGGCAATGTGGCACCCAACCAGGCCGCTGAGAGCCCCTGGGACGATGCGCCGGCATCCGATGGAGCCGGGACGCCCGACCATACCATGCCCGATCAAGGCACTGCTGGGGATCCTTCAGTGTCTCCCAGCATCGCAGATATGCTACCGGACATACGCAGCCCTTCTAGCTGGTCCAACGCATTTCAGGTGAGCGGGCTGTTTGGACTGGAATCCTTCCAGATGCCGGGGTGGGATTTAAGGGTGGACGTGGAGATTCCGGGACGGCAGACGAAGACGTTTTTATTACAAGAGCAAGCAGGGACGAACGACTCCTTTTTACAGGGGGTCATCAGCCCAATCGAATCGTTTCTCAATGGACTGGGGCCGGAATTTGTGTTTTATGTTCCAGAAAATCGAACGATTCTTCGCGAGCAGGTCCACACCTGGCACCAACAATGTCCGGGCCAAATTCTGACGGCCCGACTGGACCAGCAAATACTGCAAGAAGCCACAGTAACAAAGGGAAACTCGTTCAAAAGACATATAAGGGAGCTGTCTGCGTCCGAGCTGGACAGTAAATTGGCCGAGGTCGCCGCGTGGGTTGATAGACAAGCAGATGGGCGCTCGATTGTATCTACTACGGCTATACCAACGATCAATATAGGGGCGGGATAGTACCGGAATATAGTTGCGGGCAGTGCTGTTCATTTGGAGTATGCTCCTGTTTCTGTGCAATATTTTTAATGGGAGATGAACGTGTGCTTGATAGTACATTAGCATTAGTCGTGATTTGGGTAAATCCGAAGAACGTCAATTGTGCAGGCTGATGTGGCAGCCTCGAACGCCAACGGGCATGCGTTATTTACTATTTATCATTCGTTGCTTGACACAGGAAACTTTCTAATTCACATCCACCACGATATACGAAGGTAAGGATTGGATGGTTGGAATATATACTTATTGCTCCTTGCGCACGGGTGTTAGAGATGGCGGAGTTAAAGCCAGCCAACTTTACTCGACTAGTTTGTCTTCCTATCGCGGGCTCCCCTTTTCTTCACGCAACTCTCTCGGGCCAGGGCCAGATCCTGTGGCTTGAGCCATCTGTGAATGCTGTTGCCCGCTGCCACCACCAAGACGTGGCCTCCCTTCCCCCCCTTGGTCTTCCAGCGCGTTGAGTACGTGACTCAGTATCATTTCGAAGGGGTCCGATTCTTGGCCATTCACGCCGCGCTCCTTCAGTAGGTAGTCGATCACGGTGCCCATCCGATGGCACGTCTCGTAAAGAACATCTGCCAGTTTGGCCACTTCCTCCAGGTCGGCCGTGGTTTGCTTCAAGGCCTCTCGTGTGGAGCGATGATCGTGGTTCCGCCTCTGCTGGTCACGATCGGCTCGAGCAGCCCGACTGCTCAGTTCGGCAATGATCCGGAGGACGTCCTTCTTCGATTAGCGGGTTCATAGTGGTTGGTGGAAGGCAGTACTTACAGATATATCCATAGCTGAAATTAAGCACAGTACGGTAAGGCGTGGGATCGTTGGTTCGATGTAGGGATTACTTCCGAAAGAGAGGCGTCGTCCACATGGACGCTGGAACGGGCTGGTTTAATAGCCCGTGTTTGGCTAGCTACCTTGGCCACGAGCCACCGTGTGAAATCATTACAGTATTTTGCAAAATCAGCTTCAAAATGCAGAGAAAAGGAATTATTTCTAAGTTTACGCCAAGAAACGCTAGAACTATAATAGCTAGCGCCGGAATAATTATTGATATTAATACATCGTTCTTACAATACATGACCAATCATGAATCGAGACATGCGTAAATTAATGTGCCGTTCACTCATGAGCCCCTAACCACCTGCTGACCATTTCCGTGCTTGTGTCAGAGAGACCTACAGTTTTAACCCAAGCATGGCACCAAGGCTCGCTCTTTCTAAAATCCAGTTTATCACTGATATGTTGAAAAGCAATGAGCTATCTATATCACAAATTGCCCGCGCTGCTGAGTGTAGCCTCAGATCAGTTTACTCAATTCAGTCGAATCTGGAGCTATTCAACAATCCCAGAGCACCGCCAATCCGCGCTGGCCGACCACGAAGTCTCACATCCCCAATGCTGGAAGCGCTTTGCGATCATTTGATCGAGAAACCCACTCTATACTTAGACGAGATGGCTGTCTTTTTGTGGGATGAATTTGACGTTCATGTATCAATCTCCAGCATCAGCAGGGCTCTGGCTTCTGTCGGCTGGTCGAAAAAGATGGCTCGCCAAAAGGCCAAAGAGAGAAATCAGGACTTACGAGACAAATATGTTCATGATATGTCCGACTTCCATTCCTATCAGTTAGTCTTTGTGGATGAGTCTGGATGTGATAAACGGGTGGGGGTTAGACGGACAGGCTGGTCACCCCTTGGTGTGACACCTGTTCAGGTTTCCAAGTTTCATCGTGATAAACGTTATCAGATTTTGCCCGCATACGCTCAGGATGGGATTGTCCTCTCCCGAGTTTTTCAAGGTACTACAGATGCCGCTTTGTTTGAGGATTTTATTGAGCAGCTCCTCCAGCATTGTGGGAAATGGCCCGAAGAAAAGTCTGTTCTTGTTATGGACAATGCATCCTTTCATCATTCAGATCGAGTTGAAGATATGTGCTTGAGCGCAGGGGTTAAGCTAATATATCTGCCGCCATATTCACCCGATTTGAACCCGATTGAAGAATTCTTTGCCGAGCTAAAGGCTTTTGTGAAGAAAAATTGGCACGTATACGAGGAGCACCCTGGTCAAGGCTTTGATAATCTCTTGGAATATTGTGTTGACACTGTTGGTGAACGAGAAACAAGTGCTGAGGGTCATTTCCGACATGCAGGCCTAACCATCGAGAAGATGTGATGTAAGAAAAAGAACGGATACAGTGACTGAGTAAACCAGTGTTTACTGCCTAGATTATTTATCCTGATTTATCCTCATAACTTTATTGTATTTGGAGTTTGACAAAGAGAATGCCAAGAGTACGAGCTGGGCAGCCTTTGCCAAAAGAGGATTAGCTTGGCATCAATTAGTTATTCCGAGTCCGAATCTCACAACCGCCATCTTGCTCAATAATCTCAACCTGACAGTTTCAAGCTGTTCTATTCGGGTGAGATGTTTAGATATATTGTTTATCATGTCGCACCCACGTCGAAGTCGACATCGCTCGTCGCTAGAGGGCGTCATCGTCCCTTCGTCACAACCCCTGAAACCGGAAGACCGTGACCTCGCGATTCGGATTTTCGCAGAGATTATCGTGCACTTTGAACCCTTACAGGTCGCCGACAGTGGCTATAAACCAGTTACTCTTATTAAACATATGGGGAATGAGGTTTCAGAGAAAGACGAGTTTTTAATCCTCTTTTTCTCCTACATTCGACAGGACCTACTACTCGAAGAACAAAGTGGCATTGATCAAATCTTATCCCACCTGTCAGATCATTCTGGCTGGTCGGCGGAAGAAGAAAATGTTTTAAGTGGTAGCCTTCTTAGGTTCGCCAAATACTTAGTGGACAATTTCTTCTTGCCCCGTAAGTTTTGGAAGGTATCATGGAATACAGCGTACTTACTCTCCTTAGTAAAAGCACTTGCAGTTAAAACACCTCAGCCCACTCCGGCGCTTTCGCATGTCAGAACGCCCGAAACTGCCATCGGCACCCCACAACGCGTCTCAAATCTTCGACGAGATTGCCTCAACCGTGACCGCCACAGATGTGTCATTACCCGGAAATTTGACGCCCAAGAAGGCCAAAATCGATATAAACGGGATGGACAAAGTGTTAAAGACGATGACGGGAAATCACTACTCCCAGAACGGGATATAATGGCATATCTGGAAGTAGCACATATCATACCTCATTCATTAATGTCACTTACCAGTGAGGAGGGCGAATGGAGGCTGGTAAGTGGGCACACCCTGAGTATCTTCCATATCTAGCTTACAATAACTAGGCGGACACAAAACAAATAGCGCACAAAATCCTGAAAATGTTCGACCCTGGTGCTATCCACTTAATCAATGGTGTTGACATTGATCGACCAATGAATGCACTAACAATAACCCATGACCTTCATAAATTATTCGGGAACTTCGAAATCGCCTTTCAGCCCGTTGACACCCAACCTCATACTTACACAATTAACTACGTAGAGCCAGACCGCATGGGTCGCGTTGAGAAGCTCCCTGTTACTGTTACATTTTACCTTACCCCCGACCGAAGCATAGATCCTCCTTCTCCTCAACTCCTCCAAATCCATAGTGCCATTGGGCGCATCCTCCATCTCAGCGCCGCCGGTGATTATATCAATGAGTTCCTTCGAGACATGGAAGAATTGGAAGGGGGACAAGTGATCCCGAATGGGTCCACTCGTCTCGATGACTATGTTTGGTTCCGCCTCGGAGAAATGTCTGTTTATTAATTGGATGTCTGCAATGACCAGATGCCACCTTGCCTATTACGTTGAAATAGGTTGTTGGAATTGTTGATTACGCGGAATAATAATATTTCAAGATTACCCTGTATTATGTAAAATCGTATAATTGATGATGCCATATCTACATTTAAGAGCTAAGAGCTAATACCAGGTAATATCAACCTTACATCCTTGGTTGCATATTTTGCATTGAGGACATGAGTCCTTGGTTTTTGAATATAGTATTTCCGGAAAATGGTGTCACCAGTTATACTCTTCCTTCACCCAAACCATGGCGCCCAGCCGCACTAAACTAGTTTAAGAATTAATCCGGCCTCACACGGCCCGCCCTCTGTAATATATAGTATGGATGGCAGCCCCGTAAATTACGCGGTCACGGGCAGAAATGGAGTACCCCTCATTTCCAAACTTCATATCCACCTTTAAACATTAGGCAGTTTGACTTCCTACAAAGGATGGCGCCTAACTTACCCCAGTCTACAATTGAATTGGCTGAAGCTGCTGGCTGTAGCCAGGCGTGCCAGCATTAGAAAGAATCCGATCAAACCTCAAATTGTTCGGCAAAATCAAGGCCCCTCCGATTAAAAAAGGACGGCCACGACGCATGACACCCACTATGATTGAAGCCCTTCTTAACCATAGACTAGAAAAACCTGGATTATATCTATTGGAAATGCAACTATCCTTGCTAGACAAGTTTAGCGAGCATCTATTAAAGCCCACTATTTGCGATGAACTTTATCTCCAGGGATGGTCAAAGAAGAACGCGCGACACAAGGCAAGACTTACGGGACGATTATTTCATGATATCTCTGAACTCCCGTTCATATCAGCTCGTTTTTGTGGATGAATCCGGGTGCTATAAACGTATAGGGCTTAGATGAACTGAACTGGTTGGTCTCCTCTTGGGTGGCACCAGTCCAGATATCCAAAGTTCATCGCGGTCGGAGAAGTGCGGCACGCAGATTTGTTGGTGACACCGGGCTCTGGCTGAAGGGAAAGGACAAGGATACTGCTTCATATGTTACGTCGCCTAAGCGTATGTTTGATATTCGCTCTCTGAACAGTTCAAGATTATATTGCCAATTTTGGTTCTGTCTACATATAAAAAGCAGATTTCTTTAAAGCAGCAAATTGGACGGGTCGATGTTGTCACACTAAACGGAGACATTGATTTCACCTATTAAGTCAGATAATATCAAGCCTTAAACAAAACCAGCTGAATACAGCAGCGATAAAACCGATGGCTTGGTCCTTAGGCTGAATGAAATGCATAGACACATTCAATTTTTGCAAGCTTCTCTGTTTCGACAACATAATCAAGCAATTCTTCGATGCCATCATGCTCATAACCAAGGATATCACATGTGTAGTTATTCAGCTTGACACTCAAAGCTTTCATATAAAACGATGTGTTCGACAGGCCGTTCTCAGACATTATCTGGGAGATAAGTTTCAGAATCTCTCGACGGCTAGGTAGGCCGATAAACCTTAAAACACCAATAGGAGGACGATAAGGACACTCTATATTCACAAGGACAGAATAGCCCTTTTGTTGCACATTGGAGGGTTCTGGGCATTGTGTGGTCGGCGTGTTTGGTTCCGTCGCATGTTCACCCGGGCTTGTTTCTGTGCACATGTCAGTTATTGTCCCCAATAGCGAACATGCGTCCACAAAGTCACTGTAGCCCGTACCTGCTTCTTCTAGAGCTGGCGTGTTCTGGGGCAATGTGGGTTGACTGGCTTTGATCGGTGACTCCAGTCCCCGTGGCAGAACGATCTTGCACGTTTGTAGCTCATCGTCGGTCACTTGGTGATTGTGGTCGCTAAAATAACCCCGCACGCGATTAGATGCTGAAGCATGCAAGTCTCGCAGCGCATATGTCATATCCGAATTCGAACTTTGCATGACTTGCACTCGCTCTCCCTCATCATCTATCATATATGCCAGGGCGACAACACGGCCTCCGACATTGCAGGTCACGACATCAACATTGTTACCAAACACGATGCGAAGATTTGCTGCAAATTCATAATCACTACTTGATCGACAATGCCAAAAGGGTAGAACACACCTATTGTTTGCTCACGATAGAAGAGCTCACGGCTTGCAGATGCCTTCATCGTGATATTGCTATTAGTGAAGGACTTCGATGCTATGAAGTACTTCCCACGTAAAAATGATAGGATGCTGGTTATAAATACTTGCAAATTTTGCTCGTGTATCCCTTAATGTAACCTGGAGGTATCGCAGGAATGTAAAGAGATATGCTCCGGTACTACGAGAATGTTAAGGGGAATTCTCCGGTATCACCGTCCCCCGGTGCGAAGTATTCTGGCTGCGGCATCATTTGAAGGCTTCCTTCAAAGCACTGAACACAAGTTCAGCGAAGAGACTCGTGTCTACCCTTCTTTTGCAGCTGACCTTCTTCAGGTGACTAGGCTTGTCCTAAATACGGTGAAGCCCCTTCGAGCTGCCACTTTTGAAGACCCTATCAGCGGACAGAGATCAGATCTAAACTCGCACGTATTTGATTAGGAATAAGGCAGCTGAATGAATGAAAGCATTCCTCATTTCCTCATGAAGATGTTCGTGTATACAAGTGGACCTAAGAAATGTGGCTCCTGTAGACCGGAGCCCTACTCTATTAAAGCAGTTCGCATATCGTTGAGATATGTTGTGGAGTGGTAAAAGATTGGACCCGGATCCCTTGTTTCCCCGCCAGTCTTACCTGCTAAAGACATATTTCGATGTGTCTTGGTCCTGGTCAGCTGCATATAGGGGAGACGGAGTATTTGATATCATTTTAAGTGCGCGTTCACGTAAGTAGGAATAAATCTGGCACGCTGGCCCTTACATAATTAAGGCGATTATTGACCTTTCCTGAAAGGCATATATCACAGTGTGTGGCGAAAAAGCCTCATGTTGATTTACCATTCTCTTTCCCGTACAGCTGTAAGAGATACGCTTTTCATGTATACCATATAACTAGGGCTTTTACTGAAAATTAGATGATCACATTTTGGGTACCTAGCCCTTACTGATTGCACTGGATTTCTACTACCGTGCCCAACCAAAACTCACGCCGGATCTATTATGTATCTGAACATCAAGTCGCAGGAGTGCTGAGGTATAACTAAGTTCGGATACTACTGTATTGTACATCATAAGTGCCATTTTGATATTGCATACGCCAATGGTTAAGTACAGGAGCAGATGAAGCCCATATAACTAGAATACGGTCAACGTGTTCAGCCAGACATGAAGTTGTAAACCTGTCAAATATCCAAGTTTGTCGGCGGGGCACGCAATTAGTCATCATGGAGCCTTCCAGAGTAACTTACAATAGCATGATTACAATACGATACACCAGCTTCCGTTCAGTCACATGTCAATGGCTGAAATCCATAATACATAGGAACATAGTTCTTCCATACACCATTGGATTCTGGGTTAGCCTTTTCTTGGCACTCGTGTTTGGGTGACAAAAGGAGTGTGTAAGTGTTAACACCATTTTCCGGAAATACTGTATTGGTATTGTCACTCAGGCGAGCAAATGGGAGCAAAGTCTGTCGTACTGTATTGAGCAAGGCTTTGGAAATAGTTCGAAGGGGCACTTGCTGTATCCATATCTCTAGAGAAAAGATACGGTACCTTAGTAATACAAGTTGTACTGGCAGGCGTGCTATTTGAACCTGACAGGAGCTCCGTCTTGACTAAGCGGTGAAGCGTCAACTCACTTTGCTCCTGCGGCTTCTTATGTCTTGGCCATTTAGAACTGCAGCAGAAGTCGTGAAGCTATCATTTATCTGGGTCTAACAGCTAAACCCCTAAAAATACTGTACTACTTACCACACAGGCCTCGCTCTTCTTATTATCGTTATGAATCTAGGCTCTACATAGTAGATGATAGGGGTCTTGTATACGGGTGGGCGGAGGAATGTAGCAAACAAACAAACAAACAAACAAGCATTGGACAGTTAGTCCCATTACAAAACATTCTAATAATTGGGTCATATCCTTCTGCTGGGCATCCTACCTCCTGCTGTATATTACTTCCTGCCATATCCTGCCTTCTGCCATATTTATTTACAGTATCCAAATTCAACGCTCCATCTGAATAATGGAAAACAACGGGTGAGTTTTTGGTTCTATAATTGCCTACTAGTGTTATGTTGAATTGTCTGCTAACAACTGTACATTATAAGAGGCAATTTCAGACGACGGAATGGGTATCGCTTCGCCTTAGACGCCTTGGACGAGATGATCCATTTGCTTGAAGGGATTAGGACCGATGTACAGCGGCATCAGCAACCCGAGCATGATGAGCAACCCGAGCCTGATGAGCAGCCCGAGCCTAATGAGCAGCCTGAGGGTGGGGATCCGCCTCCTAGAGGGTGGTGGCACACGGTCTCCGACTTCTTGACAAGCTGGTGGGACAGCATCACTAGCATATGTGGGTGCGTGTGGGATAGTATCACTAGCTTATTTGGGCGCATTTGGACCTTGATTACATCCGCGGCTTCTGCTACTTATGAGGCGCTGTGTGATCTTATAGTTCTACTTCATGACTTTATAAGAGATATGGTCTCTCAACTGCGCCAACTCTTTGGGGAAGGGAGGGGGGAAAGCTACCCAAATACTCCTATGAACTCAGTATATGGCCCGGACCTGAAGTTCAGGTCCTGAACGAAGAGTTACGTACTATCCAATTAGCTTTGAGACTATGTTACTGTATTCTAAACCGTGATATTCCATGCCCTGCATATCAATTTGGTTTGCATAAGTGTTTCTGGTTACGCGCCTTGCTAGCTAATAAAAATTCGCATCTCAAACTCCAGTCATGGCTAATCAATGTATGAATGATTGATACCAGGGAAAGGCTGTAGAATCATTCTAATCCTATGTAAACTGTTCGTTTGTCACAATTCGCAGCTTCAACCATCTGTGCTGCGTTAAGCCCGATGCTCGAGATCATATCAAAGGTCATCTCTCTAGTGGATTGTGCAAGTCGTGGCGCCATCTTGGTGATGGTTTGGTGGTTGACGGATGATTGACATGATTTACCGGGAGGATCATCAGGCAAGGTCCGGGGGTTCACAATGTGGCTTTAGTAAATTTCCTGTACTGTACAGATGGAACATGTAATCTTACGATGATATAACTTAATTGTGTGATCTTGGTATCATACGATACGCCACCGCCTTATATTTGATTTTTGAGGGTGCTGAATTAGTACGGGATACACAGGTGCGGCGCTCGCTTACCGGATACGTTATTTAGATGAGGTCTGACCTCCACGACCATCTTCCCGTATACAAGCATTTTCACGCCGATAGAGCTGTCCATATAGCACCTCGTCACTGCCAGAACCTAATAGGCTAATGATTGAACTGACTGTACTGGTAGATCAACAAGAACTAAATACAAACACTAAAATGATACATCGCCATCCCCTACTAAGACCAGGCTGATACAATAATAATTCAGAGGGCTGGCTCATAATTTTCCGACCATTCGCGAATTTCGTCAATAAAGCGTCGGGCCACACCAACTATCACGCCATGTTTCATGAAGAATCCCGGGTCTTGATCCCGAGCGATCTGCTTGAGGTCCAAACCGTTCATTAAAGCCACATCACAGGCTTTCTTAATGTTGTCCTTATAGACCTGCGAATCAACTCGTGATTGTTGCCATTCAGTATATTTCCTCACCGCTTTGTCCACGGGTATATCTGGAATCATGATGGCATCAAGATCCGGGCTTGAAGAAGGCAGCAAGGCCGGAGAACCAGATGGCGATGTAGACATGGATAGTGGAAGAGCCTGAGGGGATGGTGTTGGTAAAAAGTTAATATTGATCGGCGGACAAGGTGATTCGGGTGAAGAGTATTTATGGGTTTTCCGTTGTCTGTCAAGCCACTGTTGTTTTTCGGCGTAAAGTTGTTCACGGATCTCATCAGGGACGTCGTCGTGAGTGTCAAGGTCGAGGCCCTTTTTAACAAGGTCGACAAGACGCTTGAGGTGGTGTGTTCGGAGTTTATAATGTTTCTTTCCTGAAGGGTCCTGCCAGCAGTACCCATCTTTGTTCTCACACGGTGATCCAGGACAACGCATTGTCCTATATACATCCCGCCAGACGGAAGGCTGCCCAGAACTCTGCTCAGCATCAATCTGAGCATCTCGTTCAGCAAGCATCGTCTTAGTGACTGACGTGGTGCCTCTTTTATCTCCCTTTCGTGATGAAGCCTGGTCATTATCTTCTGCTAGGTAGTTAATACAAATATCAAGTCTGAGCTTTTTGCCTTTGGCCTTGCCCGTGCGGAGCAGATTGCTCCACCTCAGGACCTGCTCCTCTATGACCGTCCAATCAATATCAACTGTCTCGAACTGCTGGTGCACATCATCTTGCAAGCGGTCATTTATTGAAGCAGCAATAGAGACGTCATCTAATCGAACCCGTCGATTTTGAAATACTCTGCGGCCTCTAACACGTTCTACCTTATGTTTTAGCGTTCTTTGCCAGAACGTACTTGGAGCCGTCGTCACGTTTGTTTCTGTTACTCTCGTAACTACCCGGGTATTAAGAGTGACTTTCCACTCAGTTAGGTAATGGATACCTTCCTGACGCCAAAGAGCGAATGGGATGAACCCTAGTTGGTTTAATTCAGGCTCACTTGGAGCATACAGATGTTCATCAAGTACCTGGCTGGGAGGAGGGCTGCACACAGGTGGTGTGGGTGTTCGACCGAAATTACCTGGGGTGGGAGCAGTGCACAGCGGGGTTGTATCAAAAGGATCGAGTGGTTGAAATTGTGAGTGCTCATCGACATGGTGGGGACTGTAACTCATTGCCTCGAAATAAGTGCTGCCGAGAAACCTATTATTAACGATGTGGCATGTTAGTACGAATCCAACAAGCCATTATGCAAGGGATGGTGTAGCAGACAGGCTGAGAAAGATGATCAGCAGGGGCATGAGTTTTGTTGTTCTTTAAATTGCAGTTTACAGTACTAGATGTCCTGCTTTAGGATAGCCTGCCCCCGAAGGCCAGTTTTCTGATGGATGATGGTGGGTGAGCGAGAGAGCTCTTTGTCTTGTTGACAGACTGCCCGCTCCAGTAGAAGGCACGTGCCCGGGACGTTTGACTTGTTTGCCTTGAACCTTCTAGAAACATTTGGTAGATATGTAATTTTGGTACACCGCAAGTTCATACAATACACATACATTTCTGTATCAATATTTATCCGGATACTAGACTGTATATGGACTAGCGTGTTTTGCCACTGCTTTTAGAAGTAAATGTTTGTATGCGCATTTTGAAGCTGATTTTGCAAAATACTGTATCGGTCTTGCTGTCGACGTTCTCAAATGTTCTGGGTGGAAATATAAGTTGAGGGCTCGGAGATACCATTGCAATCGCCCGGGACTAGTCAAAAGACACACGCACTTTTCAAAACTATTCCGGTTGCACCATCAACGAGACACCCCCACCCCGTGTCTTTCAGCTGTAGGCACATGTAGCATCAACAGCACCCTATCTCACGGATTCCTGTCACACAAAACCCACATCAGGACACGCCGTTGTTCCTAGAGTTTCAGCGGTTATATCACGGCCAAGGTACATGAGAGCAAGCCGGAACTCTACCTTTCCACAAGATGGATGAAATTGTACAATTGGTCAAGGCAATGGGTCAACAGCAATGCCTCAACGCTTACTACCGAGTTTGTTACCTGCTTTTGAAAGAATTACAGGAAAGGATCCAGTCCGATTCCGACGACCTTATGAAATTACGCTTTGACGAATTTACCGGCCCTGACGATCTGGAGCAGGCCGCTATCATAGCGATTGGCCTCCGTGACACTGTCGCGGCCCTGCGCGCAAAGGAGGGAAGGGCTCGTATAGACCGGGAAGAGTTCTACTGAGCCGGAACTTGGTCATGTAGGCTGGTTGCTTGACAAGAGGAAATTGTGCAGGGTGAATTGACCAGTCACAGATCCCCATCGCTTCCATCGAAAGGAGGCTTGTATAAGAGATGTGACCGGGATAATGCACGAGGCAGGAGAACGTGGGACGGATGATGCGATTCTGCACACGCGGTCATCCACGAGAATGGGGAGCTTTTTTTTTGTGCGGGCCTGAGGCGGCAGCCCTTCGCGGTCAAATGAGGTGGAGATAGCATACTCATTGCAAGCCCACTTAATCTACCTAGAATTCTGATCGCGGTGTCAGCCCCAGTGGGCCGAGCATGCATTCCAGCCCGAGCCCGAAGGATTGCCCGCATAGGCATTCTCGACGTGCTGGTAAACCACATACAAATAGGACCAAGTACACCTTCGCTCTTGAAAGGCATGTCATTCTTCCAGTCAAACCATGAACAATCGCCATCGGACTATCTGGTACCAGTCTGTCGGCACACCGCCGGCAGGGAAAAGGGACCTTCCCGAGGCAACACTGAAGCCCACAAAAAGGCAGAAGTCGGACTCAGCTGCCTGTGATGACGGTTGCCACGAACAGGACCCATGGACCGTATACAAACAGAGAGCGGTGGTTTTTTGCGGCCGTTATGTCGCGCTGGCACATCATCGAGAGCACCAATCAAAAATCGTCCACATTGAGCGTCTTTCTATTGACAGGCCTGGTACGCGATATCTGATACAAACAGTGGAGCGACTGTCCCACGAGAGCTTTCTCAAATTACTCGAGGCCTATTACTACGAGAACCGACTGTTCTTGGTGTGGGAGCCGGTCGAGCTGTCGGTGAGAGAAATTTTAGACGCCCGGGCGCCCATCAATGAGCCACAGCTGGCGCAGATTATATTACCGGTATGTGCCATGGCGTAGGGGAAATGCCACACTGACGGACGGAGGCAGATACTCCAGGGAATCGTGTTCCTTCGCGAAAAAGGAAGAGCACTCGCCAAGCTGGACTCGAAAGCGATCCTGCTAAACAAAGATGGGATTGTGCGGCTTGGTACGTCTTCGTGCCCCCAAACCGGGTAACGATCCGAGCATCTAACCCAGTCTACCAGCGGGTGCGGAACACAGCTGCCAGATACAGCCATCGGAGATGAACTGCGACACGTTGAAACTGACTGCTCTGGCCGCTATCATGGCCGATCTGATGGATCAGAAGGGGAGTGGGCCTATCTGGAGCTCGCTGGCGACAGAGTTCCTTCGAGATCTGACGACCAAGCGCCTGAACGAGTTGCTGGAGGTACGTTGGCACGTTGAGTCACCTTGCTGCGTCTTGCTCACCATTCTACAGCACTCCTTCTTAAAGGAGGCGGGAGGAGCAGGAGACCTAATGCTGTGTGTCTCTATAACGAACAAGATTGCCAGCCACAATATTAAAGAGGTGAACAATGTCTAGTTACCCTTCCGGATCGCTCCGGGGAGCCTTGCCCGCTGCGATATGATCAGTGGCCAAGCATAATTTAGGACTTGAACTCCATAAATACGATATCAATACTATACTGCATAGATCCCAGTTTCTCGCCCCTTGGCCCCCCTTTCTAGTACCTTTGCAGCTTCACGGATGCTATCTCTCGTACTGGCTATCTCTTCTTCAAGCTCGCCTATATACTCTTTCTGATGTTTTATTCCCCTCTGCAAATGCCGGGTTTTTATTTCAAAGGCTCGCGACCGGCGTAGGCATGCTTGCATACGACCACGAAGACGCTCGTTCTCGTCACCGAGTTGCTGATTCTCCTGCCCCAAGCGTTGAATAGTCGCGGTAAAGGAATCGTCTTCAGGCGTCAGGGTCGGTTCATTTTCGGTCTGCCCAATCATTTCCATCAGCCTTGAAATACTGTGTGACATATGCCACGGGTAGAGACGGCTATCGTCATTAGACGTCTTACATTCTCATTTAATTCCAGATCATCGTGGTCCGCTTGCAGAACTGCCGGACGGACGGCTTCGAGCGAATGTCCAAGCGCACGGCATATCTCCTCATAGAGACCAACGGTTCCATTGCTCAGGGGCGTCTCCAAAAGATGAGCCTTGGAGTCGGTAACGGACCAGACATACCCGTCCTGTGGAGCTGGCTGCAAGCGGACTTCGTTCGGGTCGATCCGCAAGCCGAGCCGGTTATCTAGGTCTATCAGTGTACGGCAGGATCTGGGGGCTCTAGGGGTGGTACGGATATGCCTGGACAATGCCTCGCGGCACCACTGTCGCCTCAGAGCACGCTTTTTATTACTCGATTGAGCCATGTGGGATGTATACAAGCCCTTCGTGCGCAAACCAAGGACGGATGAAAACCATCGGTCTGCACACGGTAGAGGATAAAAGGTGGATGATGCGGTAGCAACCATGGAACTGGGGGTCCATAAATATGAGATGGCGGCCTGTATACGCAACAGAGAGGAGGCCACAATTGCCGGGATTGCTGAACGCGTTCTTGGCCATGTGCATTTGGGGTTCCGCTTGACCACTTATAGCTTTGAGCCGGCGAGAAAAAAAAAAAAAAAAAAACTCGAATCGACTCTCGGTGGATCATGAATGACATTGAAATAAAATAAAGATATGTATTTATGATATATAATTGATAAACTGTGTGAGGTACATGTTACTGAAATGAACTTGTTTGCCAATCGCCCAATTGCCATGCTTAAACCATAACGACCGTTATTGATAAGCACACAAGCACCGATCAGATAAACAGGGTCGATGATGCGGATCCTGCGCTCAACCAAAAGCCATTTTCACCGCCGCGGCGGACTATTGTGACCGGAGGAGAGCCCTTCGCACAAATGATTCTCCAGGGTTGATCTCAACTGAGCATAGCACGTAGTCTCACCCCCCTGTAGCACCATTCCGATCCCGTACGCGATGCCCAGAGTCACGTAGAGGTATGACTGCGTGATAGGCGGTTTTGTTGACTACACTGATAAGGACCTGAAGCCCTTCTTCGCCCGTTGAAGGCCGAAGAAAAGAATGCTGGGAAATCAGCGTGCTTGCGGCATGGCGACTGAAACGTACGGGCAACCTACACTTAACAGCGCGTCCACAGGATTCACGAACGGGTTGTCAATCGCCATTGTCGAGAAATTCTGTGCATGCGAACTCCAGGGGAAAGCGGCCCTATTCTTCTTCATCAGTTCCGTGGCAATCGTCACGAGTGGAGCCAGTTGCGAAGCTGCTGCATCAGATGGGGAAGTGTCGCACTCGCGGCTGTGCTCCACGCCGGCTAGGTTTTGTCAACGTTAGTACGTTGCAGCCTTGAATCATGCCGGGCCAGCCTACCGATCTTGACTTCGCCGCTTGCAGTTATGAGTATGTCTCGAGGTGTCAGGCTCTGCAGGACCCTGCCCTGGTTGTGAAGGAACGCAATACCCTCCAGGACCTATCGAATCTGCGTCAATCGCTTCACTCGGAAGATAGAGGCTCACACATACGGGCCTGATAATCTGCCCTATCTCACTCTCCGAGATCTCGCACGTTGATGCCAGAACCTCACTGACGGAAAATTCAATCGGCTCCCATATCAAAAAGTAGCGCTGGTGATGCTGCATGACATCCACAAGCCGGCGGAAGCTGCGGTGGGCGTTTTGATCCAGTGTTTGGACCCAAGCACCTACGATTGGTCGTTCCGTGCCACCATCCTGAATATGAACAAATTCCGCTTTACGTTGTCGATGCTGGGCCAGAACCATGTGTTCCCCGTAGACGATGCGAGCACATGGTTTGTATGTCTGCCACGGGTTGTTCGTCGGAGTTTCACGAGGGGTATATGTGGGTTCGCACGAGGACGTCTTCGATCCGAAATTGTTGGAGATTCCGGCCAATACCGTGTCGGAATGGACGTTTGTGCGCACCTCCGGTGTTTGGACAGGCGGTGGTTCCTCGCCCTCAAACCACATCGTGCGGCCCGCGACCTCACGTCTATGACTGGACATGGCCCCCAGCGCACGTTAATCGGCGGACGAGGTCCATCGGCCACAGGTAGCAATGATCGCTGGCTCTTATACCGACGTGCCTCATCGCATGGACTTTGTCGTACCTGGGAACCGAGAGCTCGTTGAGGAATGTGGTATTTGTTTTAAACTACTCGATAAAAGGAATTTGGCCAGACCCTCCCTTTCACACCCCCTCGCGTTTTCTATGTGGGCCTTCAAAGCAACAGCTTGGCAAGAAGCCAAGTATCTACCCTATTTGCGTGGCGGTTCTCATCAAAGTGGCATTGCCCATACCGGTGAAATCCAGCATTAGACCCTGGTTACTTGCATGTTGGCTCGTTCGTCAGATCCGGCGGTCAATACCATAGTCGGTTGGGCAACTGAGCGGGCCATCTGGAGACACATTATGGGTCTTGCTCTACAGACACCGGGCTCGGTGTCGATGCCAATGGTGCATAGGCCTTCGGTTCATCAACATCGTAGATCCTTCTAGGTCGCGTCTTAGCATACGCATCTTCCAGAAGTGCAAGTTTGACCGGGGCGTCACATACCATGCCCCGCAGAAGGGTTGACAGTGTCGGGTTGACCGCTGTGGGACGGGATGGACCGGGTCTCCTTGGACATTGTCAGTAATGTGTCGTTGGCTATTCTGGGAGCTTCCATGACCTCGCACATACCAATGCACTCCGTGCTTCATTCCCCCGGCGGATAGCAAGGCCCGACACCTATAGCCGTTTAGCCAAACCTTCACAGAATGAGGCGGACAGATCCCACAGCTATGGCCATTGCCCACATCAAGCTTAACACAGCCCACATTAGCTTGTCTCGGTCTTCGTGCAGAGCAGTAACAGCCACGTGCTAAGTGCCCGTTTTGCCTGGCGATGAATCCAAGTATCTGGTTGGAATGATCGAACGTACGCCTCATTGCCATTCACCATTGTGCTTATTATACGGTAGTTATTTCCTGGGCCTTGGTCGACTGGCTTCATGTGGCCGATCTGCCACGCATAATTGTGGATGCTACGGTACACAAAACTGCTGGCCGTATAGAAGCTCGAACAATTGTTTGTTGCCTGCTTGCTGCAGTCGCAAAAGCGCCCGCGTTGAAACTGCTCTCATTGAAGGCAGCGATATGAAATGGCCCCCGCTCTATATGTCCTTTTTAAAAGCGGCCCTCACCTTTGTAAATAGGATAGGAAGCCCTGCGCCGGCCCCGGGCGCAAGCACGCACCGGTTGATGAGAGTGGAAAGAATAAATAGAGCGCCTCTGTTCTCATTCCGCAGGTAGAACCGATGCAGGGGAATATTCGAGTAGCTCGGTCAATGATTCTGCGTCATAATGTCGCTGCATGGGCCATGTAGTGCCGACGATGATGCGTCTAGTATTTACAGCCGACCACCCCATACACCGAAGCTTGCGCAGCCATCGGCTAGTCCAACCCCGCATGATCTGCCCGACATCCAACCGCTCGATCACCAAATCTACCTGGCTCGCGGATCCACCATCGCGCTGGAAACCACCCGGGCACGGTTGCAGTGTGCCAAAGCCAACCGGCGACTCTCGCTGCCGGAGACCATTGTCGAAAAGAAGCGACAGTGGCAGTGTCAGAATCACGAGAATCGCTTCTTTGAAACCTGTCTGGAAATCTTGGAGGACTTGGCCGCGGTCGCCGTTGATGTATCCCAAGAGCTGATCTTGCAATACGAATTCGAGCCAGAGACCAGCCCGGAGGGCAACGCGCGCGTTCGACGAGCAAACCAGCGGCTTCGCAGCGCCCTGCAGCAAGCGCTCGAGCGGGAAGCACGTGCGGAGTTTGAATGGAAAAGACAATGGAATGTTCCTCGAATCGGAGGCCCTTCCGTGAGGTGGGTCTAGGGGCGGGCAACACTTCATTAGGTGCTACTTGGTCATGTATGAAATGGGTTTCCAAGTATACAGTAGCAGGCCCGGCCATATGTAGCGCCGTCTCATCTTGATCTATAGACAGACTATAAGTATGTCATGGGACGCGACGCTCTTCTACTTCCCACCAATTGTCCACCCCACGTAGCCGTTTTCCAGCCAAGGCGTTTAGGAGCGTAGTAAATATCTGCCTGAGGTGCTCCTGGGGCCCTCGAGATGAGCGTCTATATCCTCAATTGACGGTAAAGCCCCTCCCTTTCGCCCCAATGGTCGGTGGGGAAATCGTCCACGACCGTATAATACCTGCGGGGCTAGTTGCGGGCTGGACAACAGCGGTGGTCTGCTGGCGATGATGATATCGTCGCCATGGCCGACGCCCAACCCGCTCCGCTGCCATCCATAGCTGCGGCTCGGTGGTGCAGGGATAAGGCCACCTAGTGCCCAGATTTTGACCAACATCCCCTGTATACGCGGGTTGATGGCCTTGTGTTCTGAGGAAGAAGGGCAAAGAGGCCATGGACCGGTGAACCCAGCGTAGTCGATCTGGCCATTCGGGTAAAGCTGTTAGCGCTCAGAACTGCCCTGACGTTTCCATTCCACTGTACTGGAGAACAGTTATGGAGCGAACCACAGTGCAATGAGAGGCTTCCTGATCGCCTTCTCGTCTTCTTACCCTATCAGGGCAACAGCTGCATGGGCGGGAGTGGTTCTGTGGCTGCCCAGGCACGTCACGGTAGCACCGGATAAAACTAAGTAATACGAGATTTTACATGATCTATACAAATTGCCTAATTTTTATAACGTCTGCTCGCGCGCAACAAAAACTACACAATTGACTTGTTCCGCAGCGAACTCATTGTCTGTCACACTAAGAATAGTTCCGAGATAACCAATTCCTCGCCATCTTCAAGACAGCATGCACCAACGCTCGACGATCCTTCAAGACCGTTGACCATCGAAAATCATGAGGTAGATGTCGCTGGAGTAGGCCAATCACCCGGATCGGCTTGGTAAAGCTCGGATGCCTCTGCGCAATTGCACGCAGGAGCGTGGTATCGTCAATCACTGCATGCGCCACCGCGGCTTCCTCGTCCAGACAGCGTTGGATTGCTTGGAGCTGTCGTTGAAAAAAGGCAATGCCAGCCTGACGTGCCAGATTGTACAACCGGGCTGCCGTGGATTTTGCGATCGCACAACCACCGTCCTCTCTCAACCGAGCCGTGCGTCGGGCAAGCCGCCCGTGCTTGTTGCCGCCTTTGGACAATGATCCTATATATGTTTGGCTAGTAGATACTAGATGCAACAGTTCGGCCATCAAGTGGTCCATGGAGCGCTTCATGTGCTCATTGCTCGTCATGTCGTCTGTACGGGTGAAAGGGGGGTTGCTCGTCAGCCCCACTGTTTTTTCACT